AGGAGATAAAGTGCAAAGTGTAAAACAAATCCCAGAACAACAGGAAAGACTCTAAATTGATTTAAAGTAAAGTGATTGTGATCGTGTCACATGGGTCACGGAAGTCAACCAGCGCTGAGCAGTCATATGCCACCCTTGTGCTAGAGTCTGACGCGTCTATGTCAGACTCCGACCCTGATTTTCACCCTGCCACGTGCTCAGATACATCATCACTAGATACAGTGTCTGCTGCTAGTGATGTTGTATCTGTGCCTGCTAGTCCCCCTGCCAGAAGGAGACGTGCTGCTCCAGCTGGCAGAACTGCTGAGGAGTGGGTAGTGTCTCATCGCCAGAGGCCAGACATCCCATCCTTTACTGCAAATCTTGGCATTAATTTGGATGTCACAGGATTTAGCCCTCAGCAGTTTATGGAGGTGTTTCTGGGCGATGATGTATTGGGGAACATTGTCACCCAAACTAATTTAAATGCCCATCAATTCCATAAAATTGAAAATTGAAAAATGGCCTGGTCACTAAGGGGTTAAATAGATTTATTAAATAGCAAAACAGATTGTCATTAATGAACAATAACAACATTGCAGCTGTAAACTGTATATCAACCAACTTAAATATTTACTTCCCGTGCCTTCTTGAATGAAAATATAGACACTGCTTCCTTCAAGTCTATTGTTTGGGCTAGTTCGTGTTTAACTGAAATTGTTGCCAGGCCCACCAACCTTTCTTGTGTCATTGTGGTGCGCAGGTATGTTTTTATTAGCTTCAGCTTTGAGAAGCTTCGCTCTCCACTGGCAATGGTTACGGTAAGAGTTAGCAATATGCGCAGAGCAATTAAGGCATTTGGAAATGGGCAGTAAAATTATTTTTGCAGATATACTCCAGCACGTCCTTTGGAGACAAGTCTGCCGATGCATATTTTGACAGAGCTTTAAGTTCATCATTAATATCATTTGAATCAATATCCTGCATGTCATCATGAGACAAAACTCTTTCTAATTCTTTGCATCGCTGGAGTAGATCTTCAGGTATTGCTTCATTGAGTTTGGGAATGTTATAGAGCACCCCAAAGACATTGTGGTGTTTGTGGAGCAACAAGAAACGTTCTTCCAGTGACTGGATAGCACAGTCTAGAACTTGGAAAAACATTTTTAATTTTCATTTGTTGTTTTGGATCTTTGATGTATTCATCCTCTGCCTCATAGTCAAAATGGGTTCTTCTGCGAGGAGCCCGATATTCTGCAAAGAGAAAAGTTGGATAGATGTCAAGCTCCTCTGCCATCTACTGTGCACTTTTCAAAAGATTTTCAAATTCCTCATCTGACCGATGCGTTTGTAGGAATAACTTTGTCATGTCAAGTTGTTGAACTGCTGCATAAATATCATCAGCCCCTTGCAGTCTTTTGCTTGCAATTTACATGGTAGAGCACATCATGCCACAAAACTAGACCAGACAGAAATGTAAAGTTACATATATTCTTTGTGATTCCTCTCCCTTCTGCCAGTGTTTTGCCACGAGCTGACCCTGTTAAACCAGCATCCTCCATAACTGCTGTAATGGCATCATACAGTTTCCCAGTTAGGTTTCATATAGCCTTCACTGCTGAGTGGTTTCACTGTAATATGTGAATGTCCAAGATGTTCTTTTAGGATTTGCCAAAAGTGGGTCGATGCAGAGAAGAATGCATATACACTCTGTATCACATTAAAGAACTCAGAAGCTTCAGAACATGTAGAGGCTGCATCACTGACCACCAAATTCAATGTGAACCTCATGGGACAAAAAAGACTCTGGGATTTAACTCCCGCACTCGTGTTCGTACACCATTCTTTTTTCCTTTCATGTTGGCTCCATTGTCATATCCCTGTCCTCTCATATCATTAATGTTAACTCCCATTTCTTCCAGCTTATCAAGAAGTATTTTTGTCATCCCAGATCCTGTAGTATCATCTATGTCGATGAACCCCAAGAAATGTTCTCTGATATTTACACCTGACTCTGTTGCTGTTACAAACGTACTATTAAAGTCATTTGTTCAAAATGGCTTATATCAGGTGTAAAGTCAAGAATTACAGAGTAATACTTTGCAGCATTCAGGTTTGCCAGAATTGTCTGAATGACTTGTCCTGACAGTAGCTGAATTATTTTATTCCGAAGAGTTTTGCCAAGATAGTGAATGTGGGTTTGTTTACTGGTTACTCTTCTAAGATGTTCCTTAAGCACCGGCTCAAACTCTCCCATCAACTCCACAATTTTAGGAAAATTACCATTATTTGGCACAAAAGGTTTATCTGATGTCCCACACAATGCGAGATTTTGAGTAGCAAGGACTAACAATGGCAATGAGCCTTTAAAAGAACATTTTCCCAGTGATTAGTTTCCAATTCTAAATTCTTTAGATGTTTTGCATCTATGGTGGTTTTTAACTTGAGTCTTGTACAGAGTTCAAGCCAGCTATGGAATGTTCTCTTGTAAGCTGGTGCCTTCTCGTGTCATCCAAATTCCAGCTCAGGTGTGTCCAATTATTTGTTCCTCTTGAACTTAAAGCTGATGTAATGCGTTCTGGTTGGAAGACTTTGCAGCAAAAACAATAAGCAGCATTCTTGGTCTTTGAGTACATGAGCCACGGTCTCTCCACTTTCTCCAAATTGGGTAGTTTCCACCAATAATGCATCCTATGACACCTTCTTTTGCTCTCAGATTTGTCTTTGGGAATGGATCGTGTGTTACCAAAAAATCAATTAGTTTACTGCTCATCCTTGGCCAGAGCCCTGGAGAAACAGACAATTGAATTCATAGTGACACTTTTGGAGCTGCTCTTCCACCATGCTCACAGCTGCTGGACTTTCTTCTTCAGGAACATTCATAGCTTCATCAATCTGAGATGCTGAAATGGATGCAGGCACAGTCATATCTTTCTTCATTCTGAAGCTCCTGTTCCACAGGAGATTTGTCTTAGCTCCCTGGTTTAATAAACTTCAGCATAGCTCATTTCTGTTTAGATAAGCCTTCCTCGCTTCTCTAATCTATGCATATTGTGCACCAGAAAGACGTGTGCGTTTCCTTCCGCTAGACATTGCTGCTGTATACTGTTGGCACACAAGTAAGACAAAAACAATACTATAATATTGTGCATCAAGAGAACAAATCACATGCTTCTTTGTGCCCACATCATTTGCTACTTTGCTTGTATGGTCTTTGCCTTGCGTGACCAGTACTCTTCGGCCTCCTGTTCTCTAATGCACGTCTGTCAGTCAGTCTCAGATTGTCAGGCAACCCAGCTCACTGACAGATGAGCAAAGGACAGCATCAGGAGGAAGAAGGGCCTATGCACATTGAAGATTGCATTGACCCTGCACTTTTACAATGCCACACTATTTGAGGAGCTGGCTACGGGAGATTTTCCCTAACCTGCCTCTCCTCCATTTTATAGGTTATTGCCCCCTTTTGTGTTTCTTATCCTCTCTTTCTTTTATTGAGATGTTAGGAGGGTACACAAAGGAAATAACGTTAAATCAGAATATGGCTGCTTGGAAAACAATTTTAATATACAGTGCTAGAGTAAGTAACTATTTGAGACTTGGCCCCCTTTTTACTTTTTATATCGGGGGGGGAGGGGGGACTTGTTCTCTGTTGATTTCCATTAATAACCCCTTCTACTGACCCTTTCCATATGCCAGAATGATTAAGGAAAAACTTTAACACAATATGGAAAATGTTTCACATGGAGATGAGTGAAGGGTAATGGGGATGGGGGGAAAAGTGGAATATCTACTAACCTGTTGTAGTTGAAGCAGTCAGCAGAGCTGTAGATTAACTCAGGCAGCCAGGGAAGTCCTCCTCTGCTCTTCTCGCTGAAGGCTCTCTGCAGGCTCTGCTCTCTGCTAGCTGTGTCACGATTCGGGAACCTAACACGCTAACAGGTCACAGAGAGGAAGGGTGCTATACCGGTCCTTAGAATGGCCGGGTTAAGCACACTAAGAATAGTCAGGAGACAAGCCAAGTAAAGGGAGCCAGAAAACAGGAGAGCGAGAAACAAGCCGAGGTCAAAGGAATGGAGAATACAGAAAAATCGGAATAACAAGCCAAATAATCGGTAACCAGAGAGAAACACGAGCAAACTGCACTACAGGTATCACAAGACCACAACAGGGCACCGAGAGACAGAAAAGGTAAGTATATAAACCCTGTGCTTAATTCTGATTGGATAACTTCCAATTAGAATTCACAAACACACGTGGGGGATATTTACACCTCCGACTGTGATTATGGTACTGTCTTTAATGCCGGGTCACGTGACTGCTGGCTAATAGTGTACATTGCAGCCAATCAAGATACTTGAGGTGAGGTAGTATTAATCATATTTAAAAAAAAATTATAAGCAGCACCTTGCTGCTCGTCACTCAAGCTTAATTCTGCATTTTTGCTGTTCAAACAATTCAATTCAAAAGTTAACCACCAATGATTTGGGGTTATAGTTTGAATTAAATGATTGAGCGGCAGACCGTGAATGTCTGCCACTTCAGGCAGCAATAATTTGGTCCATCATGGCACTTTTTGGCACCAAAAGAGTTAAGGTAGGTATCGTACCTTTGCCCTCCCCTGTAGGGGGAGGGCAAAGTACAGTACTGTCCAAGTCCATCCAATTCCCCCCTAGTACAGACAGTACTGTCCTTCTTCCTTTCCCCTACAGTGTGCATCCATCAATCACTGAAGTTCTGGCACAATTTATAGATAAAGCCAGAACTTCAATAGAATTTGCAAAATGCCGCCTGGGGGGTCTGGCAGCCTGCTCCTGCCTTATTAACAGCAGCAGTTCTCAGGGGAGTGGCATCCGGCAGTGCAAAAGTGCCACGGGCTGCACAACCACAAATGGTTAGTGCAGTGATGAACCTGCCAGACCCCCTAGACGGCATGTTCAGAATTCTTCCTCAGTGCCGTTGTACGATACCGCAACCTAATGTGCCTCTCCTGTCTCCTCCTCCGAACTTCCGAAGTCTGTCTTCATTGAAAATCATGAAGCCAGGTAGGCTGGCTGCTTAACTCACTGACACTGAGGTAAGCAGCCAGCCTGCCTGGCTTCATGATTTTCAATGAAAAGAGACTTCAGAGGAGAGGCAGTGCCGGCACCAAAGGGTTAGTGCACCAAAAACTGTCCGCAGCTGCCAGGCGCCGCGGCTGTAGATATACTCACGGCTCACTCACGTCACTGACTGAAGTGAAGTTTGAACTGGCAGTCCACTTCCGGCACGATACGGTCATACTGCAGTTCAGTCAGAATAGAAAAGTGAGGTAGGCAGTGGCGGCGATAAAGTCATGGACAGGCAGGCCCTGCATGCAATGACACCCCGGTTACAGAGAATGTAAAATGTATCGGAATCGGGATCTGTGGCATCTTCAACCTACACAACACACTAGGCTCAAACTAGGCTCAATAAAGGAGGCGGTGAATGTAGCGATGCCCAGGTTGTGACTGATTATGTTGAGTGCACCTGGATTGCAGCCATTACCCAGCACTCTTACTCCTCGATTCAGTATTACCGAATAGGATAAACAGTCCAACTGAAATATATTGTTAGAATTTTAAAGGGATACTCGTTATATGCCCACTTAGTTGCTATGGTCTGTGCCTGCGCAGTGTAAGTGGCATTGAATAGTCTCTGCTGGGCTATCAGTGATTATAGATCCTTGCAGGGACGCCCTTCAGAATAAACCTGTGTGCGAAATAGTAATGGACCAAATAATGGAGTTTGCACACATCCATTTCTCACTGTCATATCCGTGGATGTTATGCAAACTAGATCATGGCCTAATCTGTGTTCCGCCATTAATATAATCATTCCGTAAAGCCGTGCGGACAGACGTGTTGCAACATTGTACATCTTTTATAGAGTGCATGCTGTTTTCAGGATGTGATATATGTCAGAATTGATTTATGCAGGCTGTTTGCAGGGGACTTGGTAACAATGTGCCTGATAAGTCTGCTGTCAGAAACATTAAGATAATCTGAAATGAAGAAAATAACCAATAAAAATATGACAAAAGGGTACAACGGACTACGCAAACGAGTGAAACATCAAAGTACATCTTTATATTAATTTTGGAATTATTGCTTACATTGTTTAATGTTCTTTTTTTTTTTTTTTTTACTTTCGTTTTATTTATTAGTTTGTATTGATCAAAGCAATAAATGGGGTACAAAAAGGAGGACAGGCAAAGCTGAACACAAAAGAAGAATGTATATGTTGGTAGAAAATGGAATGGATTTTAAAGGGACACTATATTCCCCAGAAAAACTACAGCTTAATGCAGTGGTTCTGGTGTCTGTTTCCTGTCCCTACAGACATTTTCATGTAAAAACTGCATTTTCAGGTCAAAGGCAGTGTTTACATTACTGCATAGAAACACCTCCAGTGACAGTCACTCAGACTTCTCTATGAAGATATGCTAATTGGTGTAGCACTGCTTTTCCCACACATGCACAATGGCCTCCCAATGCTTTCCTACGGGAAAGCATTGGATTGGCTGGGGTTGGCAATTTTGAGTGGAGCGGAGCTAGTGCCGGCAGATTCTGGCCACTCTGGAAATAAGATAAGTTCTGACACCTTTTCAAGGGGGGAAAGGAAGGGCCGGCCACCTGTAATGTTTTTTTAACACAATAGGGTCAGGAGTACACGTTTGTATTCCTGAGCCTATTGTGTTCCTTCAACACATAGCCCTGCCTAAACGGAACTCTCAATTCTAGAAAAGCTATATCTCCTGGTTCCTTCCCACCAGTAAATTATATTTCAGTGTAAATAGAAATATACTGTCCCATGATGGATTGGGCATGTGTCTGCTCTATCAGGCATCTAACTGTCATACACATACATGCATGCTCTGCATTTTTTACAGCAGTGCACTATGTGAGTCACCTCATTTACATACTAGCATGAAACTAATTTGAAATAAACTACAAAGGACTTTAAAATATCAGCACAACTTATAGCTAACTAAAAGAATGTGACAGTTGCTCCTTAATTATCTCATATATTTTATTTTTAGAAGCAGTGTTCCCTTTAAGGTGAAACTGTAAGGGCTGGAAACTAATAACAAATGTTTGATTAACCCCCATTGTTTCGATGTCAGTCTGAGTTTTGCAGACCCATGCATGCTTTCTGACCCGTACAATCTGTCATCTCAACAAGGGTCTCTAGAGAAGCAATAGCTGGTGGGATATAGTATACAATTCAAAACATATAGAGGCAAACCATATAAAATGATGTGTCACATCTGTGAACAGAAGAAAAAAGTAGCCCAGTGTGAAAAGGAGATAAAATATTTTTGAGTTAGTGTCAAAGATGGAGGTTATAGGGATTGGATCACAAATATACAGTATAAGACTATCTCAATGATTATCCACAGTTTAAAAAAACCATTAAACCATTTAGGCAAGGAAAGAGAATTATTCCAATCATTATAATCAGCTGTAGCGGTTATGATGCCAGGAGTATCATGGTCCGGTTCCTCAATAATGGGACAAACCATTTAGCAACCAGTTATCAATATTTTGTCCCCTTTCCTGAGGTCTGTGCTCCCTGGTTGACTGCTGATATGCATACAGCCTTGGCAGTCGCCATTCAGTGATTGAGAGTGCCAGCCGAAAACTCTCAGCCGATGAAAAAACAAACAATGAAACATCGCGCCAAAAACATCTAGGTGCAATATTCAGAAAAAACAAACAACAAAACACTTAGCCAAAAACTTCACAGATAGTACACCTTTCAGAATGTTTAAATATCAGTGAAGTTTTCAAGATGTTTTGATATTAATAACCTCAAAAAGAGAACAGAAACAAATAATAGTGCAATACAGTAAGGATAAAGTCCAACTTTAAGCAGGTTCGTGAAGGTATTCCACTCACGTTTTATAGAGCTATATATATCCTTAGCACAATACAGCAGAGCTCTCAGTTAGCGTGAGTGGGAATACCTTCACGAACCTGCCTGAAGTTGTACTTTAGCCATGCTATATTACACTATTTGTTTCTCTTTTTTGAGGTTATTAATATCAAAACAAAGGAAAAAGTTACTTGCACTCCTCCCAAATCCCTATGCATATTTAAACAAATAGAGGTTATTTAGTTACTCCGATGGCCATTAGAGAGATGCCCACCTGCCATGTCAAGGTGGGTCCTACACTGACTATTAAACTTGCTTCCTTGAGGTTCAGGCAAAGATATCTCTAATGAGACAGAGAGGGGTATTTTTCTAAACCCCTACATTCGTATTAACATTTGATAGGGAACACGTTTTGTAAACCTACTATTTGATGATTGGACATAAAACAGGGTCAACAGCTACCAGAAACTCAAGGTAACATAACTACTAACTTAAATCGTTATGTTGGTTAGTTTCCCTTTTAAGTAAAGAGTCACTTTATAATCGGCTCTTTACTTTCCTAAATCTTACTTGAAAATAAAATCAGCTTTACAGCTTTCGATCTGAATGGAAGACTCATGTATCTATAGTCTAACAAGTGTGGCATCTTATTAAGAGTTTCATTATATAGCTATAATTATGATAGTGTTTTAATTTGTACTGTGTTATAATTATGATGATAGGGAACAATCATGGAAAAACCATTCCGATCGATTTACTAAGCAGTTTATATAGCCACTTCAGTTACACTCGGATGTCAAGTTTAAAGAGCCATGATATTTATTATTTACTATCAAACAAGGCAGACTGGCTTACCAGTATAACTGTGCTCAGCCAGCACATCTATTTTCCTACGGTAAGGAAATAGCAGATATGAAATACTGCTACAAAGACTGACACTCCATCGCTGATTGAAAAGCAGACAAATGTAAATTGCCGACATGCTAAGGTGTCTGTGAGACGTTATCGATTCATGGATGACACCCAGTAGGTTCTCTCACACTGTGATATATAGACTGGGTGTCTTTACTAACAAAAAATATATAAATAAGCAACAAGAATTCACAGCCCATGGAGTGGCCACTCGCTTGGCTTTTCTTGTTCTTGTTGCAAAGGGGGGGCGTCCTACGAGACATCACAAGTTTTTGTTTATTTTTTATTTTTCACATGGAGAGATCCAGTTGTCTCTCACTGGCACATACGCAGCATGTATAACCAGTGGCGTCTCCAGGATTCATATTTAGGGGGGCACATAAGGGGCCAGGTACAAAAGTAGGGGGCAGTTATAAAATGTGTATATAGGTGTGTGTGCACATATATATATATATATATATATACAATTTGATGGGAGTTTTGCACTCCAGCTCTCCTCTAAGTTATGGCCCGGTGCTCAGCTGCACATAAATATAACCTCCAAAAAGAAAGCCAGCACTCAAGGACTTCAACGTGAAAAGATATAGGCATTTAATCCAAGTGGTTAACTTGGATTAAATGCCTATATCTTTTCACGTTGAAGTCCTTGAGTGCTGGCTTTCTTTTTGGAGGTTAAATATATATGTACACACATATACATAAACAGGGCTTATCCCAGGGGCCAAGTTGCCATGGCGACTAGACATTTCATGGGGAGCTTTGAAGCCAGTTGCCACAGGAAGCATGGAGGCGGTGTGCAAGGGAGCAGTCACCTTCCTGCAGTTCCTCTCTGCTCCCTGGCGCGATGTTTAGTGACATGACGTCACTCAGGCCCCAGCATCACTACAGAGAGAGCACAGGGGAGCAGAGAGAAACTGCAGAAAGATTAGAGAAGACACACTGGACGCCAGGGAAAGAACCACTCAGCTCTCCCAAAGGTAGGGACGCTGGGTGGATTTAAATTAAAATAGCAATTTGTGAGTGTGTGAGAAAATGTGTGTACGCAAAGGTGTACACTTTGTGGGTGGGAGTGTACTCTATGTGGGGAGTTCACAGTCTGTGAGAGTGTACTGTGTTCAGGGGGTGTAGAGAGTGGGATAGGGAAGAGCTTTACAATTTTTACTTTAATAATTGTTTAAAAAAAAAAAAAAAAAAGAATATTCCCCTTTCCCTAATCTTACCTTGCAGGGAAGGGGTGGCCCAATCAGATCCTTGGTGGTTGAGAAGGCTGTCTATCCATCGGGTACAGGGGAGGTCACATAATGA